TACCATTTGCGACAGTATTGTGCTGCAGCTCCACAAAAAAGGCAATGCAGTCGTAGGCTGCATCAACAGGAATAGTGTTGAGACAACAAGAAGGGATAGAATTGGTTTACACAGTGCTGGTGACACCACACTTAGAATACTGTGTCCAGTTTTGGTCACGATACAAAAAGTTCTTGAGACCCTGGAAATTGTGCAGAGATGTAAAGATGATAAAGGGTCTGGACACTAAATCGTATGGTGATCAGTTGTGGGAGATAGGTATGTCTAGGCTATCAAAGGGAATCATACTTGAGGGACATGATAGCTGTCTTCCAGTACTTGAGGGGCTGTCACCAAGAAGAGGGGATTGACTTATTAAGGCACCTGAGGGCAGGACAAGAAGTTTATTAAAATGAGATCCAACATAGAAGTAAGGAGAAATTTTCTGTCAGTGAGGGCAATTAATCAATAGAATAGCTTGCCACCAGAGATTGTGGCTGCTCCATTACTGGTGGTTTTCACGAATAGGCTGTCACGAGGGGTTGTCACGAAGAGGGAGTCAACCTATTTTCTCAAGCAGGAGACCGTATACCCTATACCAGGGGCAGGCAACCTTAACTCTTGCATACCCCTGCCCTATACCATTTCAGACAAGTGGTTGTCCAGTCTCTTAAAAGCCTTCAGTGATGAAGCACCCACAACTTCTGAAGATAAGCAGTTTCACTTGTTAATTGTTCTCACTGTTAGGAAGTTTCTCCTTATTTCTGAGTTGCTTCTTTCCTTGATTAGTTTTTTCTCTCACCTTCTAGTGCTTTGGAAAGTAGCTTGGGCCCTTCTTTTTTGTGGCAGCCCCTCAAATTTTGGAACACAGCTATCATATCACCTCTGGTCCTTCTTTTCACTAGACTAGCCATACCCAAATCCTCCAACCGTTCTTCATATGTTTTAGTTGCCAGCCCTTAATCATGTTAGTTCTTCTTCTCTGTCCTATTTTCAAAGTCTCATCATTTTTACAATGTGACCAAAACTGGATGGAGTTTTTATATAGTGGTACTAAGACTTCACATGAGCTTGACTCTACCCCTCTGTTTATGCAACCAAGGATTGTATTAGCGTTTTTGGCTGCTGCTGCACACTGCTGGCTCATATTTAAGTGGCCGTCAACTAGGCTTGAAGATGACTGTTTAAACCTCTCAGCGCAATTGAAAGTAAGGGTTCCAAGTAAATTTGCAACTCTTTAGGGCAGAGTTCCCCATCTTCGCAGGTTGGTGGCCTGGGGGGGGAAGGGGATGATTTTGTGGGAGGAGCCGGTGAATGTGAGGCCGTGAGTGCCTGCTACGAGGCTCACACGAGTGGGGCCACAAGGGCCTGCAATGAGGTTCACACACCTTGGGCTATCCGCACACACCGGCCAGTCATTCACGTGGCCCAGTGGCAATTAGGCCACTGCCCGGTAATGGGCCGCAGCCCGCAGGTTGAAGACCCCTGTTTTAGGGGACATTTTTGGACTTTTCTACATGGACACTAACAAGATGGAGAATACTTTGATAAATAGAACTTCATATTTATTTAATAGATATTCTAGAGAAGAAAAAGCGTTTATGAGAATAAATTCGACAGTGGCTTAAATTTAATGAGCTAATTGGAGTTACTCGGATTTTTATTGGCCTGATCTGTGTAATAGAAAGCTTTAATACAGTTTTGTATTTATAAAGTGGGTTTCAAAATGTTGTTTCCCTTCACATATAATGCTTGAGTAGTTTTTAAGTTTGTAAAATGTAAAGTGAACTTCTTCCCTTTTTTCTTCCGTTAGTTTCCCACAATTTTATTTTTCTTTGCATTTTATATTTTGAATAATAAAAACATTTAATACAAAAAACCCAACCGCGTTACTAACGGAACCCTGCAGTGATTCTCTTCACAACTGTGGCAAGAAAGGTCATAAAATGGAACAAACGGGTGCACCTTTCTAATGGTTCCAGCATACCATGCTCACAGTCCCCATTGGTGACTTTCCCACTAGCTTCTGACAAGAAAAATAAGTGGGGAGGGCCAGCAGGAATTTGCAAGTCATGGTCATGCTTTTGCTTAGCAACTGCAGAGGAACAGATGTAAGTTGGCACTGTCATGTGACACCATACTTAATGACCGGCTGCTTAGTGACACAGATGCCAGTCCTATGCCCAGAGGCCTCCAGGGCAGAGAGTAAAGAAAATAGCCTTAGGGCAGAAGTCCCCAACATTTTGGGCACCAGAGACCGGTTCTGTGGAGAAAGGTTTGTCCACGCACCAAAGAGTGTTTGGTTTTGTGTGCTGCCTGCATCCCACAGATGGATCTTTGCTTGTTTGTGCGGACCGGTTGCTGGCATACCATAGCCCAGTACTGGTCCACGGACCTGGGGTTGGGGACCCCTGCCTTAGGGGATAAGCAACCTACCTCAAGTCCACAACAGAGAGAGAGAATGTTACAAACAGGTTCAAACAAACACCTCCCTCATTCACAGTAGCATACATTTGGGTGGGGGGGAGGCACAACATAATTAGACTTGCAAGATTTTCTTACT